AGTTCCTTATTCCTCCTTTCTCTCTTTCCTTTCTCTGCGCCACTACTTCCTAAGACCCATTCCCTGGTGCTGGCATTGCTGCTCTGCACTCTTCTGCTCCCTGGCCTTCTCCACCACATCAGCTCTCTCAGTATTTGTATTCTGTATTTGAACATTGATCATCACAATTTGGTATTTGGAGGAATTCAAGATAGTAATTTTTGTGATTACTTCCTAAATGTTGCTCCACCTCCTGGTATGCAAGGTAAGATGAAATTGTTTTTGTAAGTGAGATTTTTAGCTCTCACCATTGATGAAATTGTTTTTGTAAGTGAGATTTTTAGGTCTCCCCATTCCCCTCTCCTTGCAATTCATTTGTTTTCCCTGGCCATGATGTACCTTGTGTATTGATGCTTTTTGTTGGTGCGCATGTCCTTTTCAGGTCATTTCCCTCTGCCCTGAACCCAGACTGCTGGAGAACCTGAGGAAATGTAATAAATTACTGGACCTTGTGCAGAAAGGCCTGAGTGAATACCTGGAGACCAAGAGAGGAGCTTTCCCCAGGTAATCCCAAAACACCAGGTCCCACTGGATTACACTTCCTGGAACAGTAGATGTGACATAGAAGATTAGTCCAGTTACATTTGTCAGGAACAAGTGTATTTTTCGTTTCCAGCAATAGGATAAGACTATGAAATTGTTGTGAACTTACAGTTCTCAGGAAAGGTCCTCCTTACAATGTAGAGTCTTGATGGAGAGAACAACAGAGAGAAAGTAGGGCCAGCTGTGTGAATGTTTCATGGCACAGAACTCAAGCACAAGGCAATCTGCACCTTTGGCATCTAAAAAAGGCATTAGGAAAGGGAAATTAAGTGAAATGAAACACCTTGGATCTTGATCTCTTTAGGCATAGCATGTACTCCTGTACAAAATAGGTAGGAACAACTGTAATTCAGGCTTCAGGGGATTTCAGGTGAAAGCCTGAAATTGAGTGTTTCCCTTGAAGCCTTGGAAACTGTGGGGGAGAGGGAGGGTGGGGAAAAGCGTTAAAAAAAAACAAACAAACCCAAAAAACAAAACCAAAACAACTTACCTGAAGTGCGGAGAAGAAAGGCAGTAGAACCCTGGAAACTAGGCCTGTGCAAAGCGGCTAGTAGTCACTCAGATTCAGCCGATTTGGGGGACAGTGATTCGATTTGGTGATTTGAATCACTGTCCTGAACCAATTCAGCTGAATCTGATTCAGAGATTCATCTGCTGCCCAATGTCTGAATCACCCAGGCCAGGCCCATCCCCTGCCAGCTCTCCCAGCCCGGCAATGGCTGCCCTGCCTGCCCCAGCTCCCGACTCTTGGGAAGAAAAAGCCTCGGCTCACTGGGTGCTGCCAGGCAGGGGGTGATCCCCGCTGCCCCCCAGTACCCCAAACTGCATGGGGAGCTCTGTCACAAGTCCCCAACCCCTCCCCTCACTGTCCCAGCCCCCCCATGGTTGCCCCTCTGCACAAGCCCCCTGAAGCCCTGAGGCTGCTGCGGGAACCGGTAAGTCCTGGGGTTTTTCTGGGTTTTTTTCTTCTTAAAGGGCTGGAGCTGGGAGGCGAGCTGGGGGAGTGGCGGAGTTCGGGGGGCTCATGCAGAGACCCCGGGGCAATGAGGGGCAGCGGAGATTGCTCCCCCACCCAGCAGCACCCAGTGAACACCAGGGTTTTTTTTTTAAAGCGGCAGGGATCCCCCCATGGTCCCCTCCCCACCCCCTCTCCCACACCCTACTTACTAGGTCCGAGTCCAGCTCCCAGCTGTAGCCATCGGTGATTGCCCGAATCATCAAAGCTCTCCAAATCTTTTTTTAATCGATTCGAAGAGCTTTGAATTGATTCAGACCTTTTTTATTGATCCCCTGATTCAATTTAGATTTGGAGATTCGGCCACCGAATCGGGCCGAATTTCCTCCAAATCCATTGGCACCCAAAGCGTCTCACAGCCTGTCTCAGCTGCCTGTGGAGGGTTCAGGGATTGAGAGTGTGTGGTTGGGGGTAGAAAGGTAAGAAACATGTATTGACTTAACAAAAACACAACTACGCGTAGTAACAAAACAAACAATAACAGACCAAAGCAATTCGCGTCGGGAACTTATCGGCAGTCTTCTCTGATGCTTGATACACAGCAAGCTTCTTTTTCTACAAAGTTCAGCGAAGTCAGGCGTCTCTGATTAGCGCTGTCTAAGGGGTACTGGGAAGGACTCTGGAATGCAGTTCTTGGGCTCTTCGAGGTCTACAGGCTTACTGATCTAGGCAACAACTAACTAATCTTTTTCACAGAGCTGAATTTTCTTTCTGAATGGTTTCTAGATATTCTAGCTAATTTATAGCTTCTGAATTATACTGATAACGTACAACTACTCAGATTCTTTTTACTTCAACTGTCTTTAGACTGACTAATAGCAGTACAAGCCTTGCATTCTTTTGATAAGGTAATTTTAACTGCACCACAGGGCTTTACTACTTCTAGGCTTTGCTAAATTTACTAGGCCTTACTTTATACAAGGCTTCACTACATCTTAAACTTTAATTAGGCATTTAGCAACAACATATAGCTTAATATCTAAACAAATACAGAAAAACACTTAGTCTAATCTTCATAGAGCCTTCAGCAAGCACCTTTATCACACAGGCACACTGGGGCTCAGCCAGTCAGGTTGTTCGATTCCCCACTTTGGCAGGGAGTTTAAAAGCCCTGCCCAGAGCGGAGCAGGCAAGTTTCCCCTGCATTAGGAGCTATGAGCATAGGCATGCTAGGTCCCTGCACCCACCGCCTGGCATGGGATTCAGGGTATCCCTGCTGCAGGGGCTACCCCCTGCCCAGCATGGCTGTCCCAAGCCCCGCTTTGCTTTGCTGCAATGTGGGAGCAGAAGGGAATTTCCCTCTTCCCTTCTCTGTGCAGAATTCTAAGTGGTGAGCCTTACTTAAAAGTTGTTGTTTAATAAGCAGTGAGCTTTGCTTTCTTAAAACAGCTGAAGAACAGCCTGTATGCTGCTGTTCAGTGGTGATCAGCTCCATGGCAGGCTCCCTCAGCCAATCAGAGGTGTGGAAGAGACTGCCCTGAAAAACACCTGTAATTGTCTCCTACAAGCCTTCAGGAGCCCACTTTTCCCCCTACTGGAGTCCGAATTACAGTGGCAAAATAGGTGCAAAATATTTCTGTTATGATCAGGTGTCATTCACACCCACACTGCCATGTTTAAGTGACATCTTCAGGGTAACTGCAACAGAGAACAAAACATGGTTAGTTTATCTTTAACTGAACTATGGCTTTTGCAGCAATGCAAATAATCCCTGGAGACCAGCAGCACACCCTGAAGAATCCTTTTAGCCAAAAACCGTTTCTCTCACAATAAGTAGTAGTGCCATGAACTGTCAAGTGCTAACATCAAAACATTAGCAAAAAGCAAAATGAGCTGCTTGTCATTCTGTCTCCCACGTATTTGTTTTCAGGTTCTACTTCCTTTCGGATGATGAGCTACTAGAGATACTATCTCAGACAAAGGACCCCACTGCCGTGCAGCCTCACCTCCGCAAGTGCTTTGAGAACATTGCACGGGTAGGTAAAGGAAGCCATTTCTTCTGTGTCTAGCAGGCGGCAGGTCTTATCGTTGGGATTTCTGTCATGGGAACCCAGAGATGTTCCTAATACAGGAGGAACATTCATATTCTGCTGTGTAGAAATGAATCTCTTGTTAATCAAGACACTTAGTCGGGTATTGTAGTGGAGAGGTGGAATTGGGCAGGATGCAAGCCCAGCTGCCTTTGGAAGCCAACATCAAGTTTCTTCAGAGACATCACCATGTGGGACAAGTAAAGATGACTTGATTTGTACCCTTTCCTGTACTGCACTGAGGAAGTGGATGGTTGGTGCCTGGCTAGAATGGGTGCCATACTTCTCTCAGTTTCCAATTATCATTACAGCACATCTACATTCTCAGTGGAGAAGTATCCACATTAACACCATCAGAGCTGCTAGCCTTAAAGATAGTCTTAAGGGAAGCCAAAAACTAAATGGGCCATAGATACTGAGGCGCCCCTTTGCTGATTTAACTGATGTATTATTAAACTTCAGTCTTATCAGTCTTGTACCTCAGATCATCACTGAATTCACACATCAAGGAACAAATCATACAATTATTAGCTTGGCAATAAGGAAATTTAATTGGCCCATTGGCATCAATAAATGTACCTTGACTTCGCTAGCTTTTGAATCAGGGTATCACACTTTTATTTTTAAAACAGGAAACTCAAACCTCAGGGGGGATTATTTGGATGAACAAAATTGAAGGTAAAGAGGATTTACAGATTCCTAGACACACAGTGAAGAATTTTCATTCTATATGTAATTTGATTCACCTCAGTCAAGTTGTGCTAGGGATGAACTCAAGTCCCTTGCTGTTAGGTATTCTTCTACTTCATGGAAAGACATAATTTTGCATTTTGATGATTTGTGGTATAGTCAGGTTGTATGCCAAATCGATAACTAATGTAAATTGGTGTACTAATTTACTAATGTAAATTCCTCTCCAGGGAAGGCAGGGAGAGATATAGAAGAGGCATGCTCCACTAGTGTTTCATGCTTTGCTTCCCCCATTAGCTGCTGTTCCAGGAGGACCTACAGATCACTCACATGTACTCTGCAGAAGGGGAAGAAGTGAAGCTTTTTTCCCCCATTTATCCCACGGGCAATGTGGAGGACTGGTTGCTGGAAGTTGAGAAATCCATGAAGGCCAGTGTGCGGGACAACATTGAGAGATCGATTGGGATTTATCCACATGTGAGATTCTTTCATCTTATTCTATTCTTCTCCTTTTCACCTTAAACCCACATGTCTTCAGTAGGCAGCATGTGGAAGATTGTGGCTGCAGCTGTTCACCCACCTAGAAGTGGTTACAGGTAACAGTGTGCTACAGTAGATTTCTTATATCATACTGTTTTAAAGTATAGCCTTAGATCCTGGTACATGATTCTGTTACTATACCTCCCTTTCCAGGTTGCTGCTGCTTTAGGATAGGTCTCCCTCTTTTAGCTTCTTCTTCAGCGTATAGGTCAGTCAGTCATGTTATACAAAGAAATGATGGTAGTAATAAGAGCACAACTTAATCCCAGAAGTCAGTGGAGGTAAAACCAGGGTGAGTCTTTTGTAAAATCTATGCAAGTAGAAAATCTGGATTACAGTTTGGAGGTCATTTGGAAGAAAGGATGACAAACGGTAAGACATATTCAAGGAGTGTGAAATAGGAACTAGCTGTAGGGGAGAAGCTGCCTTGGGACTCCACAAGAAGCAGCTTTATTCAATCACCCTCTTCTGAGAGAACCCCCTGAAGTCAGCTCTGGTGTGCCTTCACAAGGAGCAAACCTCTGGCTTTGAGATCTGGCTCTTCTCAGTCCCTGGTTATTCAGGTGATCTGTAGCACCCCCACTTCCATGAACTCCTTTCTGATCAGCTCCTGGAAAGGGGGGTGTTCTGTTCTTTAATGAGGAGGGGTATCGGAGTGCTGATGCCCCAAACAGCACAGCAGACTGTTGTGTCACTCCAGTTCCCTCTGTCCTTCCATGGACTCCACAGTGTTCTCCCTTGGACTATTCTTTTCTCTCTATTCTGGTCTCCCTGCGACCTTCTCTCTGCCTTCCCTGGGATTACCCTTTCTCCACTCTCTAGCTCTCTCAGAGCCTCACTTATTCTCCACCAGCTCCAGGCATCCACACTTGCAACAATACAGTATTAACTTGGGGACAACACTCACCCAATACAGTGAAACAGAAGGTCATGCAGAACCAATCAGGGAGCAGTCCCTGGGCCCTGCTGCTAGGCTCACACTGCCATCTCCCTCTGGGGCAAAAGGGTATCTAGGTGTTTTGTTTATAAAACTATGTTAAAGCAAAGCTTGCTCACACTGAACCGCCCTAAAGTGTTCCCCATCAGAACTGCAGGCTAGACCTCAGCCCACTTAACCTCTTTCATCACAGGGCAAAAACTTGTTCTGTATGGCTTCACTAGATTCCCGTTTCAGTTGCATGTTGCAATTTTCCATACAAATTCTTACTTTGTATTGCCAATTGATCTGTCAGCACTGACAGCATCCATTGTCTGGATATGTGACACTTAAGGGAAGTTTCGTCAGGGCAACTGGAGAAAATAGAGGAGTACAGCTAAATAGAAATAAGTATATCTAATGTGGAATTCAGGTTAGAGATGCACCATATAGACTAACTGGATCAGAGATGCATACGTTCTTACTCTCAAAAGGTTATGTATCTCTGATTCATATAGTCTGAAGTAAAGCAGAAGGCGGGGTAGAGATGCATCTTATAGACTAATACAGCTAACGTGATTACCTCTTTGTGATGTGAGTGTGGAACTGGATTGTTGCTGGCCACAGAGCAGAGATAGCAGGGTTGGAGGCTGTCCAATGAAGATCTTTCATTTCTAATTAGCATGTAATGTGCCTTGTATTATTTTCTTAAAGACGCCACGTCCTACCTGGGTTTTACAATGGCCTGGTCAGGTGACCATCGCTGGCTGTCAGACATTCTGGACAAAGGAAGTGTCCGAGGCCCTGGAAGCTGGGGATTTGTCCACTAGGCTGTTTCCACAGCTGAGTGCTCAGGTAGGAAAGATGACTGAGTACAGGCAAAGTTTAGATTTCCCTGCACTAAGACCTGTTCTTATAAAAAATCCTTCTACTTAAAAAATCATCCAAAAGCCAAAACCTGAGCTATTGATGCAGCTGCATCCTGATAAATGTGTCAAAGTTAGATCAGCAGTTTTGAACAGGCTTGATATTGGTGTGGGAAAGGACTGCATTCAAAGGTAGTGGGGGGAGACAGCAAGCACAACATCTTGGATTGCAGTGTCACTGCCGTCTTACCTTAAATACCTTATCTAACAAGATATTACCAGTGGTCTTCTCCAAGAACTTGGTCATGCCCTAGCATAGCATGATGGGGTGCGGTCCTTCTGAAGGTGTAATTCTTCATAACAATGATAACAGACTCACTATATCTCATTCCAAATCACAGTTCATGATCTCAAATGAAGTCTAACACTTCCTGTCATCTGTTGCTTCATGGTCTTTTATGTATTTATCCTTGCAACACCCATGCATGGGATGCAAATGGTCTTGGGCAAATGGGGAGCTGAGGTATAGAGAAACTAAAACTTTTCTCCAGGGTTGCACAGGTTGTCAGTGGCAGAGTAGGAAATTCAGAGTGGGTCTTCTTCAATGGCCCAGGCTGGTGCCCAAAC